AAGAGCTTATTTTAAATTGTATGCTTAGCATATACTGTTATTTGGAGTGATATATTAGACCATAATCTATAATATTTATCGATTGATATTAAAAATGATTCGAGTCAAAAACTATTTCATGATTATCAAACCTTTAAGTGGAAAAAAATATAATGATACATTTATTTCTACAATATAATTATAATAATTCATTCCTAATAAACATAAAGCGATTTATTTTGTTTTATTTATTACAAATATATTTTTATTAATTTATGTTTTATTTAGTGATATCCCAATATTTTTCGATATATGTTATGTTTGGTTTTGCGGTATTTTATTTTTTCGTTTATTGTTTTCCATTTGATTATGCTTAAAAATTGTAATTATTATTTGTCATGTATATCATAACATTATTATAACATATGGGAACCCTCCGTTAAACAACGGGATATTTTTAATTTTGTTAAATTATACTATTTCTATCTGAACATTTAAATATGAAATGAAAAACCCGTAATGGAAATACTTTATAAACACCAGACAAGTTATACATAGTTCACTTTTCAAATTTAAACAAACAAAACAACGTAGAAAACATGAATAGAAAACTTTTGATTTTTTTTAACCGATCATAAGTCCATTACGAATTCATACTAAAGTTTTCAAATATCTCTGATTTTCGAGTAAGATAAATGCTTTTAGAAAACTTGATCCTTTCTGTGCGGTGTATAATATGCAAACATAATATGCGAACTCGGTATGTTCATCTACCATCGAGAATTATACAAAATGTTACTTTCCAATTTGAATTTTAACTTTATTACGTTTCAATAATAATAGCTACGCGGTAAGTTTATAACGCTTGAAGTAGATATTGAATGAGCATTTCACGATGTCAAATTATATTTACGTATATATCAATCGACGTTAGAAAAGCAGTAGTCATTATAAATATTAAAACTTTATATTAATAATATAACACGCCTGTATATTTTGTTTGCGGCGAACACTCCAGTTATAATAAATAACAATCTATACATCGATGGCAATATCGATCACACGCGATCTGACAAATTCAAAGTCATATATCTCTCCGAAACTCTTGGTAATGATGATCGGTAGCCCTGTATCTATTATTTTCTGGTATCCACTTCATTATTGATACTATTATTCAAATACGTTTGCCGTTTTTTTTCTCTCTGAAATTCCCTTATAATGCATTATTCTCCGACGTGGTATACCAACCGAATTAATGTATTTTAGAGGGCAGCGGGAAACTGTATAACAATGTGCCTGTGCATGATCACCATGTCAATAACGACTACGTTGTTCCCAAAATGGTCTTCGTACATAATGTTTAGATTTCGTTGCGCTCATCGGTTCAACACGATACTGTACAGGGCGTAACGTGTAACGGCTGATAACTTAAAGATTTCTGTGGTCTTGTGCACTGAACGAAGTGTAGATACGATGGATTCAAATCGACGACGACGCGTAAAGCTGCAGTGTCACAGTGGCACCGACGTCGGTCGGCCGATAATTTTTGTCAGACGTTGGCCGCTCAAATTGGCCGACAGTTGTTCATTTCAATGCAATGAGTGCAGGTTATAATTTATAAAATGGATGTTCCCTCATTTTTGTGTTTGGAAAAAATTCCTGCTATTAAATATTTATTATTAAAAAAGCGAAAGTATCACACAAATGACATTTCGATAAATATCGATTCCCCCTATCTAAATATGGGAAAATATAGAGAATTCCATACATTGTTTCACCAACTATTAGAACAGCATAAAGATTTACTACTATGGTCCCATAAGCTCCTTCTTTCATGGACTAAACTTATTGATTTCTCGCAGTCCATGACGAAAATGTAATATATATAGTATAAATCATAAAATAATATTAGTGTTTGAATTGATTCAGTCAACTGAACCGGCCGGTAAAAACAAACGAAATTGAATTCTGTCCGATAGATATCCGACGTTGGTGTGATCGGCCGATGCGGTCGGAGGCACTGAGATCACTTGTATAATATTAGTGTAGTGCACGGTCGTGTTGCCAAGCCGCGCGTATTTTGATGGCTGTTGAACGTTTCCGAGTCGTTCGATTTCGCACGACCGTGGCAATAGCGCTCAGCATGTCCTGCGGATCCAATGGCATTTCCGTGAGGAGTTTTTCAAATCGAAAACGTTCGTTGGCGGTACGATGCGAACACATTGCGCTGTATCTGAAAGGGTTGAGAGAACGGCGGACGGTAAGCAATCGATGCGTACGTGACGCGCATTAGGGAGCGGACCACGTGTAGACGATGGTTGGCCCTATGTGTCGCGTTCGAGAACCGAATCGTTGACGAACCAAACCCGTTGTACGTTTACGTCAAAGTCGAGATGTGATTTTTCCCGTTATCTTCTCCCTCCCGCCGACAGGGTTCGACTGAAATCCGTTTTCGACCGAAAAATAGAGTCTGTTCGGTAGACCATGGATCGTCGTAGTAACGTTGTGTGTAACGCGTAGCAATAGGGTTGCCCAACCTTAAAACCCATTCGTTACGTTCTACGTCGGTTGTCTATTGTTATTCCCGAGGGTTGTGTTTTTATTATTATTATTTTTTTTTTTTAGTCTATTGTTGAAGTTCGAGTAATTAATCGGGTCGGGAAGATGGATTGCAAGCTGTAGGTGCTTTTGAAGCTCTTGGTGAAGTGAACAAGTTGTAAAGAAAACGAAAATGGGTAAACAGAATAAATTAAAACAAAAATATAACGAGAAACATTTGATAATTTTTAAAGACTTCCGTTCGGGAATCCCAACGTTTGTTAATAACACGTAAACGCCTGTTCTAGGGTCAAAATATTTGGGTACATTCTTCGATCTCTCATCACAACAGTGTATCTGGGTATTGTACATAATTTCCACTCGCACACCGACCTCGAGCGCTGGCGTAGACGATTGTTTTTGTATACTTTCGAACTGGTCGCGATGCCATTGTTATTTTACCGCGCGAAACATTCATTTCGATGTCACGTAATTCAACATAATAAAATATATTGATGATGTATAGTTGCACACAGAAAGTTACTACTTTGCTCAATGTTTCCCAATCGTTATGAGAACCTATTTACACCAAATTAATACCGAATGCCCATTTTGTGAAAACGCTTATGCTGAAAAATTATTTATATTTTAGTTATTTAAAATTATTCATCTTACAGTTTGAATATCTTATGTATTTTTTATGTGGAACACTGTTACAACTACACATTACAATTGAATTACAATGTAGTTATTTCGAAGGTTTTTGAACTTTAGGAGCCGAGTGAAACGTTTTTTTTTTTCATAACCTCGTCTAAGATAAAAGTTGTTTTATACTTGTTTTAATATTTTTACATTTAACAGAACCACCTTCTAAACATCGACCTACGAATCATCTGATTATCGGTTGACACGTGTAGTTTCGAGAATGGAAATTGAATACGATTCATTATACTAAATCCTGTGAACTATAGTTCCATAGTATTATGATGATATAGTTAGTCTATGTAGAAAAAAAATCACAAAGTCTGCTGAATTATGAACTGAATTGTGAACTACACGTTCATAAATGAAACAAAATTGGGTCAGATATGACTATAGTCTGGTTTAAAAAATGCTAAAATAGAATATTTTATACAAAAATGAAATGCATTGTTAAATGAATATTTTTATTTTATTATTTTGTTTTATGTCCCTTATAAAATATCCATATATTAAGCTTGGATTTTATTGATGCGGTATTGTAATGTGATTTTATTGTACGTAATATAACATTTTATAAGTTGCAATAGTAAAGAAGTGGAATAATTATCGTAAATAAATAATGCTTCCATTATTCGTATTGGTAATAAGTCGAACAATTACAATGCAATCTTATTTTTAGAAAATAATTTTTTTTATTGTTCGTTGACCGGAACATAAAATAAGTAATTTTACATCAGTAATTTTCGAGTAGGATGTAAATATAGAATGAATATTCTCAAAACATCCGGTGTATTATATATTTCATATATTTTTCGACGGGTAAAAGCCATTGTTAATATTGATGTATGATCATCCTATAATTTAACAGACTTTATAATTAATGTAACAATTTTAAGTGCATCGAGATATCGAGATAACTTTCGAAAATCTTTTCACAATTTCTGTGATTATCTTTGAACTTCTTTGAATATTTTACATAGATTGTTAAAAGAATACCGATTAATATTTTTGTGGGAAATAGAATTGTACAATTTTCATACATATTCTATGTACATGGAAACTATGTCTTATAGTCTAATTAAGAATCCACCTACTCCCTATTGATCCGTAATTAAAGTTTTCGTGAAAAATTATGTCACAATATGGTTCAATATTTTTGTGTTTTGTGAAATAAACTCTATGCAATGAAATCCGTTAAGCGATACGGAAAAAAGGTCTACGTGACATTAACTACATTATCATGCCATGTTTAAGATGAATATAAGTTGTTAAGTAGTTCGGCTGTGTGCATTCGATTGTGGTGGCGTAAGAGTCGATATGCCTTGATTGATTGCGATGTTGATAACGATTCCTAGAGCTTGGAATTGTATCTGTCTTGGGCGTATAAACAAAGTTCACTAAAAATATATTTAATACCAATACGTACTCCGAAGGATATGGATCAAATCCGAAATCAAAAAGGCGTTTATGTTTATGTAGTCATATATTATTTATAATAATATTCTTTAAACCGTCATTTTGGTTTTTCGATTTTGAAATAATATTACGAAATAAATATTTAACTATTGTGTACATTTATAAAATAATGTTTATAAATTAGCAAGTATTTTAATCCATTTATGTGCGATATAAAACTTTGGAATTCATTCAAATTAAATTAATTTGTCTGTGCGTTGCGTAAAATGATATAATCAAATCATAACTGATTGTTTTACATTTGATTTTCACTTTTAATAATACACGTTAATTATTCTAATAAGACATATTTTTTCTTTTTCCAGAAATTAACAAATAGCTGGGCAGTCATATTACTACTACTATACTAATACAATACACTGAAATTATAATTAAATATTTATGTAACTGTTCTCTTGTATTAAGTTAAGGTTTCAATTTTCATGAACATATGTAAATAAAAATAAATGTTAATTAAGTCGATATATTATAAATACCAGTTGAAATGTATTTTTTTTTCAAATATATATATGTGTGTGTGTGGGTGTGTTTACATTATTGTCGTTATGTAAATTTAAATATTTGAAATGAAATAATATTTACTAAATCTGACATTGTAGTAAAATCAAAAATGCAAAGTAAAAGATTATGATGTACCGTAACATAAACGTTATTTATAAATGTTCGCTCTGTATACCGAGTCGAATATTTTGTACCTCTATTTGTCATTATCGTACTCCTATTCTACCTTTGTACGATATTTTTAATCGTACAAAAGTATACATTAGTCAGTGTGAAGCAAAATATTGTGATTACTATCCGACCTTTGTACATTTGTTTTTAAAACACCTGTTTATAAGATATTTGATGTACCATTTTTTTTTTAATATTTATTTTATATATAAATATATTATATGTTAATAGAATTTATTAATATCTTACCATAGTTTACGCTGACCAAACTTGTCGTTACGTATACCAGAAGATCCGTCGTTATTGTTTCTCATTGTTCGAACAACATAATAACAATATTATATTTTTCACACTAATAGTGTACGAAAATAACAATGCGTACACATCAAAACTATATTTATATAATGTAATATGATCATTATTGTCTCGGTAGAAATGGACGTGGAGAAACAAACGAAAGCATTTTCGAGGTCTTACTTGTCGTCAGAATTTATCCATTTTAGAACGCCATGTTTTCGTTTACACGAAAAGTTCTTCGGGTGTTTTAGTGGCAAACATAACGCGCGCGCCATGCTTTCGTTTTTCAATGTACCTTCTACTTGCACGTACAACGTGTGCCGCGTAAATGTATTGCAACAAATTATTGTATTTAACGTGTTTTATAAATAATGTTCAGCCGACACTAAAACCATCCGCTCCGTTGATAACGCATTGTTGTAAATATCATTAGTGTTTAAAACGATAATAATAGTAATAATAATACTAATAAAAATAAAGATAATATTCAATTGTGTAATTGCAACGCTAGGATTATAAATATATAACCAGTGGTTAAAATGAAGGGAGACGGAAGAGGACGGACTTTTCCTTCTTATTTAAGGTAAGATTATATGTCCTCTTTAATTTAAATCTCCAAAGTCCGAGGAGGGGGAAGAGACCTAACGCTAAACGACGGTAATAATTATCACATAAAGTACGTAATATTATATCATATAAAATTTGTTATTGATTTATATATTTGAACAAGTAGAAGAAGAAGACTTCGAATGTAATGTCAGAAATAAATATAAGATAATATTCTCGTAATTACCGATTAATTTAACAGACGTCTAATAATTAGACATTACAATTACAATTATTGTATACACATACCCGGGCGCTCGTGTAATGAAATTAATATTTCAACACGTACATGGACCGTTCAACACATAATTTATTATTATAATAGCTGTTCCAAAACTGAAGTGATATGTGACAGACAGCAGCATTTGATGATTGCATGTTAAAAATATATGCTTTCTGTTTTTGGCGGTATGCTCATAGTATAAGCAGGTTACAATAAAATATATGTTAGGTAAGTTATAGTTAAAATACGGGTTCTTATGCTTTTTTAACTATAATAAATGCACGAAAAAAAACTTCAAAATATGTCCTAAATATTCCTATAAAAACTGATAAAATTTATTCGAAAAATGCTTAAATCCAAGGAATATTTTATTTTCTTCAAAATATTCTCCAAGTATGGTAATTATTTAATTATGTATAATATTATAAATACAATGTATATATTTTGATTTATATTGTTATTAGTTGTATTAATTGTTGTTTGCACTTATAGACATATATCTATTTACTCAGAATAGGTATCACATATCTTATGTAACAATAAAAAATTGTGTCCAGTAAAAAATTCAAGATAACATACATAAAGTTTTTTTGTATGTAAAATTAAAAAAAAATCACAACATATTTAATAAAACAACAAATTTATGTCTAGTGATCATATTGTTAAATAATTCAATAAAATAGTTATTTTTGTTTTATTTTAATCCTTTTTTTTCATATTATGTTTTTTTTTCTGTGATATCTGAGTCCAAATTTATGAATCGAAAATATATGATCTGTTCTACAGACAACAACACATATTTAAAAAAATTAAAAATAGTATAATACCCTCTAATCATCAAAATATGTTGAATTATGTAAAATAAATATTTTTTCTATAAACTCAAATGAATTACTATAATAAACTTATTTATTATAGTATATATATAATATAATTTATATATTATATATATATATAAAAATATAAAAATGAAAGTTACTCTTAAGTTGCATAAAAAAATATATATTTATTTAGTTATTAATAATACATAAACATTATTATTATTTGCATATTTGTAAATGTTTTATTGACTAACAACTGTAGGTTAGCAAGGTTAGCAAGGATAGCGATTGTTAATTTTTAATTTTGTTACAGTTATAAATGTTAAGACTGTTTTGTATATATAAATAATAAAAATTAAAAGTTAAGCTTATGAGTTATGAGTGGTATTATTTTATTACCTAACATGTGATGTGTAATATAAATTAGTTTTATTTGTATTTTTAAAGGCTAAAACAAATTAAAAATTTTAATTCATTTTTATAAACACTTTAGACCATATACTACAATTAATTTTACTGACCTGCCATATATATTGATGATAGTTTTTTTTTTTTTTTTTGAGGGGGAGGAAACTTATTTTTAGTTTTACACCCTATAAAACGTTATATAAATAAATGTGTGTAAATGAAAAAAATTATAGATATCTTGTCTTATGGACTAGGTACCTAAAAAAGTTTGATAAGATGTAGAAATTGGTAAGGGAAGGTTTCTTTGCAATTTTTGATGATTATATTCCTCCCTCGAAATTTTCACCACTTTAACTACTGTACATAACATTGGACAAACGCAAACTGCCTTGTCAATAGTACTAACCACGACGATGATTATAACCTTCTCTAGATAATGACAAGGCAATATTGTTGTTATTCGTTTCAGACCTCTCACCGACGATGAGCAATAACGTTTTCGGTGACAATTACGTTCATAGAACCGAATGTTTAGCAGTAGGTTGGGTGTAAAAAATCACCGAACCATATATCAGCTACACGCTGCAAAACCGTACGTGCATGGATTCCAGATAAGAAAGAAAATAAATCAATTAGTTGGCGACGAAAACAGTGCGTTTTCAAATATAATATTGCGAACGGCACAACATATTACCCAGTGAGTGGTGTGCAGTATTGGAGTGCACCGAATGGGTTGCACAAATAATCGTTTTTACACTCGTCTGGTCGTATACTACAAGCACCTACGTGGAACGAGATTGTCGGTTTGAGTTCCGTGTTCGTTTCGTCTATTGTAACAATCTTTGGAGCAGCAGGTATTCCGCACCGCGGTCCGAAACGTTATTTTACGCGGTCGATAGTCAATAAATTAGAGTTTGGTTTAACGTATTTTTTTTAATCTATACATTACAGGAAATACAGTGGAGTTATAACCGTCCAAATACAAATTTAAGTGTACTGTATAGCTTTTTCAATAAACATTTACATTATTCTGGTACATGTCTCGTCAAATTGTAAGGTAAATAGAAAAAAAACCTTTTGACGTAGTATATATATATGTTTTTTTTTTCATATTTAACTGTTTTTTTAAATTTCTAACGAGTGTCATTCAAAATTTTAGTTTATAAAACAAGTTACTGGTTTTTTAGAAATTTTTACTAGATTTAGTGTCGTCTACGTTTTGTCATCCAGGGACGTACACGTGCCGCGTCTCATTTACCCGCCGTCGACTGTACGCACGAATTACATGAGTGCCGCGAGATCAAAAGACTTTAAAAATCGACCGGTAGCATTATACGGTTTTAAAATACACGCAATCTCGGGCCACGATTTTTACCAAAAATTTTGTGCGCAAAAGTACTACGAGTACTTTTGATTCGGAAGCCCGTCGTGTTATCACGGTCCAAACAACGGACGATGAAAGTGGTGATGTGACGGGCGCACGGTCAATGATAATATGCAATGAGTGGTAAAAAACGCAAAAGTGAGTACAAAGCGTGAGTACAAAGGACCCTGTACCGATGTCGGATTGACAACGCGACTCCGATGACAACCGACCGAACATTGTTGCTTTATTTTTTTTCCTTTGAGCTCAATACCCATTCCAAGGAATACTCGTACACTAATAATATTGACTTGGTCTTTTGCCACGATAACAGTCGGCTGTTATGGGTAGAAACGCAATGTTTGTCCGTCCTATTTATTATTCAGACAAATATGTTATACTACTAATCGTATAAGGGTTTTTCGATATAAAAAAAAAAAAAATCTATAGTATTAAATATTCAGTTAAACCCGTGATACATCCTGTTTTTTTTTTTTTTTTAAGGGTCAGAAAATGTAATATCTATTATGATAATATTTTAAACAAAAATTTATCGTCAAACACGCCTTCAGTTTTATAACACAATACTTAATATGTATTTTGAACTGATGCAAAAATTATATAAAATTATACTTGTACAAAAATTATACTTTAATACATTTTAATAATGTTCATCGGCGTACCCATAAAACATGTTTTATCAAATCAACTTTGCAAATAACAGCATTTTTTAACCAACAGTCAATGAAATATACTCGTTCAACTTTTAAGATAACCTATGTCGATACTTAAAAGAATCGTTATTTTAATATTAATATCGTACTTGATATTTGACTTTTGTGAAATAAAAACTTTCTCGTAACAACAGCCAGGTTGCGTGTTGTAATGTGAATTAAAATATCGGTTTCCCTAATAATAATAGATATTATTATACTCGTACAAACTCAAAAGGCCAAATTAGCTTGTAACAAGCGAGCTCGGCTACATTATAATTAACGTTTGCATTTACGACGTTGGTTCGGATTAATTCGAATGGTATTATGATAATTATTATGGAACAAGGAAAAAATTGTAAGGCGGCGC